ATATTCAGATTACAAAATATAGATTACAAAACTGACTAAAACACATATAAATCATAATACAATTAATTTTTCTACAAGCATTAGTGCAGTCCAAAAAAAAATATTTTTTTAAACTCCTAGAATACTTATGTGATGTACGATTATAAAATTCAGTCAATTAATTAAAACAATCTAATGTGTATAGTTTTAAGCACATAAAATTAAAAATGTGTAAATCAAATCGGAGTAATAATTTAAAAATTAAAACAATTAATAAAAATTGCCTTGGCCATCCTGGAGAATTATCAGAGACCGTCATAAAATGTCAACATTAAATCTATAAATCAAGTCTCAACACACCAACCAAGGCTGGACATCAAGACAAAAGAGAATATCTTTCTCCTCTTCTGTTAACATTGCTCAATTTTTCACAATGAAACTGTTCATTGACCCAGCAAAAAAATTAAAATTTTAAGAAATTAAGACTTTAGATTGTCTCTTATATCTAGTTGATTTAAAAGCTTGCCTTGGCCAGGGGATTGGCTGTGTGATTGTGTTGCCATACCACTTGTATGAGTTAAGTGAGTGTCATTCTGGAAGAAATAACCCTGTCCTGTCCTACATGGGGATGGAGATCTATCAAACTGAGCAGAGCAGTGCCGAGCTCCTAACTGGGTTGAGCTGATCTCACTGGCGTAAGGATAAATCCCAGCACAGGTTTCCTCATATGTGGGAGGAGCTTCGTTATGATCATCATGGCTGAAGAAACTGGGGCTATTGCTATTGAAACTCTGTGCAACATCTGTATATGAAGGCGTGGCTAAGTCATCCGCATTTCTGAAAATAGAACTGTAAAAGTTTATCATAACTTTAGGATCTCAAAAAATAGATTTAGTCCTATGTGCACAATACTGCACAAAACAATATAAATAACATCAGATCAAGTTAGCTATTTACTTTATTTTAAAAATTTAACTCTTTAGAGTAGGTGTAGCAAAACTTGAATTTTCAGTGAAGTGTAGTAAACAACTATATAAAGCTCAGAGAAACTATGTCTGTTTATTTGTTTCTTTGTATCTGTATTTTAAATAAAACGCTCAATCTGTGGACAGTTTTAAAAATAAAGTTTTTTCCTTATCCAACGTAAAATACTCACTGTTGTAAAATATTAAAGATTAAGTTCTTTTGGTTCCGGGGTTCCAATAGTAAATATTTAATAAGGTAACATCTTTGCAAATTCCTTATGATTTCAATGGCATAAATTTGAAAAATTAACTTGAATTTTCATCTGAATGATTTTATAGTTCTCCTTATCTTAGGGATAAATAAAATGTCTCTTTTGGAATGGGTTCCTGTTGGGGATCCTATGTTATTTTAATTGATAAATGACCAGAGCTTGGTGAAAACATTTTTATTTAGACAACTGTGAAAAGTCTTTTTACAGGAGAAAATATTTAATTTTAACTTGTACTTTAGCTAAGTCTTTTTAATTAAAAGGGCTCTAAATTTAAGTGCACAATGTTAATGCTTTAGAAGTTTTTATGAATACAAACAAGCACAAAAGTGGGTATAGTGCATAATTTTTAATAAAACAAGTGATAAAATAGAAGGTGTGTAAAATATATTATTACCAAGTGTTGCCAAACAAGTGGTTAGTAATTGTAGTAAAACACATGGTTATTAAGTGTGGAAAAGCATATGATTATTAAGTGTAATAAAATAGTGGGCCTTCTTGAATGGTGAGACACATTAAGTGCATATGACATTTATTTATTTTTTAATCAAAGGCAGTTTTGCATTGGAAAAATTAATAGAAAAAGATATGGTGTATTTTAACTTCAGTGACTTTGCAAATAACATCTGTAATAACTCTGTAAATTTATGAATGTTTCACTCATTTTGCACTTTATCTCAAATCTCCTTAATCGTTACTAAATGTCTATACAAAAATTAATGTGCCAGCGAATGTGGTAGAAAGATTATCTTACGGAATAGGATCAGTGTTTGGCTCTTCACTATCCCATGCACCAACCACGATAATGGCATTTCCATTGATATCATCTTGATCAGCAGCAACTTGTGCTACATCTCCAGAATTCATTGTCTCCATCTGTTGTCAAACAAATTATCGTAAATATTCTTTCTCATTATCTTTAGACTAAGGTACTTTAACCAGAATATTGTAACACAAACCACAAAGAAGTAGATTCACAGAATTTTCCTTTTAATTTTTGTTTATGTTAAAGGGTGATAAATGAACTAAATTTTTTAATAGAAGCATTTGACATCATCCATCAAAAGATAGATTTTTATTTCTCAGCCATCCTTTAGAAAATACATCTATTATTCCTTGGATTTTCAAAAAAATCTGATTTTTTTTTTGTTTTTGTTTTTTGTGAAAACCATAAAAAGCTGTGTTTTCTCATTGGAAGATGGTAATGTTTATATTACTCGTACTCTTGGAATGCTGCCATTAAAATGTAAATGTCATGTAAAGCATTTATTACTACTTGTAAAGAAACAAATATTTATAGCTAAAAAAAAACAAATGAATAGTTAAAAATATTCAGACCTGCACCGGTCCATTGGTAGTTCTGTTCCTCTTCTTTGCCAGCATAAACTGTCTAAATGACAACAACAACATGAGTAGAGCCAAAGCTATGAGGAGTGGACCAGCCATGGTTATTTTACTACCAAACACACCACTGAAACCTTAAGGGAAATTTTAAAATAGATCAAATATTAATTTATTTAGGTAAATTTTATTACTATTTTATCTCAACAAAAAATAACTTTCTTAAATTTCAGTTTGACCTTTCACTTCTATACCTATTTCTCCCACTTCCTGATTTCTAAATGAGCTGAAACTGTAAACTTCTTGAGTGAAATTACTCACTATGTACAGTACATTATGCATAAAGTATTACCACTTTCAAAGCCTAGATTTTTTTACATTTAAATTGTATACGCTTTTTTAATCATGTTCCAGTATATTCATTTGTGTTTTAAATCTTCCAAGACTAAAAAGTACAAAATAAAAACAAATTAAAAAATACTTTTTAAAAAGTACTAAATAAATGTTCCCCAAAACTTTAGAGTTGTTACAGCCACATGTCTAAAAAAGCATGGAGAACCCATGAATTACAATGATGCCATATGACTAGACAATACAATGTTGGACACATGTATACATTTGCAATGCTGCAAGAAATTGTTATTTGACATAATTTTTATGAAACAGAATATTTAATCATGGAAATATGATATATTCTCACAATTGCCTTGCATTACTGTTGTATGCTCCCCTTGTTCGTGATCTTGACAAGTGGAATGAAATTACTGATACTGCTGCATGCATGTCTTTGCAATTTGTCTCAGATAGGCCTGGATATTCCAAGTGATTTCAGAATGGAGGAGAAGGTTGCATATTTTCATACAATTTGTTTTCCTTCTTACATCAAGTACCAATCTTATGACTTTTTAAATTTTTAACAAGCTAGGTTTTATTCAGTATATGAGGGTTGAAGACATTTTTTTCTGTATATTTTCTTGGGAGCTAGCATAATCAGTTAAATGGTTAAACAGGATACATATTTTATGCCACAAATGTTGTATATCTTAGCTATGTTTGTGAGAATTTAAAAAAAAATTTAATATACAAATATTCAATTTCCAAAGCATTTAAAGGTATGTAAAGGATAAAAATTTCATATTTTTTTATTTTTTTTTAATACTTACCTAACCAAGTCAGAATAGCTCCAACTAAGAGAAGAACTGTGGCTATAATCAAAAATAAAATCCCTCTTCTCAAAGGTTTTTTTGAATCAGGTGGTCTAGAGGATGACGATGGGAAAAATGTACGAAGAGCATTTCTGTGCCGATACAGATTTGGCGTGTGAATGTGGGATGAATGAAGCATAGTTTATTTTTTTGCACTAAAATAATTCACTTGAACTTGCCCTCTAGTTGCTTCTCTGCTCAATTTATGCACTTGTTAAATGCAAGCATCTTTGGGGAAAAAATCTTCAAACCTATATTGCCCTGGCCCTGTTCATGTCATTTTAATTTTAATGGCAACATTCCAAGAGTATGAGTAATATTAACATTACCACCTTCCTTTAATTTTAATGATTTCTTGATTTGGGTCTGGAAGTTCTCTCTTGTGCAGTTTTGACTCAAATTCAGGTGTTAAAGTAAAGAAGCTTCTTGGGTTTGTTTTTACGATGACCATGTCATCCATCATGATACATAACTCTGTTCTAGATGACCTAATTTTACCATTTCATCCCTTTGACTTCGTAGTTTGTGCTTCATTTGGGGAAAAAGAAAGCCGTTTTTTAAATGCACCATTCTGTTGAATTATGTTATATTAATTAAATTAATATTATACTTAGTATCCTGTCCGGTAATGAAAGATTACTTTGCCAAATATTTCACTTGTTCTGCTAAAACTCTCATTCTATGTTCCCACACTAACTAATGCTACAAATAGCTTTACACGCTGATTCTGACGCTATCGATAGGCCTACACAATCACAAATGCATGTTAAAAATTTAATCATGATTGTTATCGTTGCCGAGTTTGATTTCACAGTCACAAATTATGTCAATTATGCAGTTAGAGTTAGTTAAGTTAGTAGTTTGTTAGAGCCGTTTCCGTTTGTTAATTGTCCAATGTACAAACTCAAAAGAGTTAACTATTATTTTGAAACTGTTTTAATGAATATTTTCATCATATATTGTATCATAATGTATTATTCCTGTTAATTAATTTATCATTGTTTGTTTAGTTACAGGTAATCCTAAATTATGCATTCAGTTATTGCCCTTCATATTAAATTAAAAATATTAACCAGATCGATGCGCACAAAACAATCATCATTTCGACAACCCCTTCAAATGTTATGGGTGTTACTATTAAAATAATAATTGTTTACATATATATATATATGATATAGATAAAATCTAAAATTTCGAACCGATGGTAGCCTCCCTACCCTGATGTGTCCCATATTGGCTAAATTGACTAATTCAGAAGACATTCACCATACTCATACATTATTCATTATACATACAGAATACAGTCCTATTACTATTTAGATTTAGAACAAAAGACGAACATTTCGTCAGGTCACAATGACTTTTATTAGATTTTTAGTGCTTGTGAATTGTATGAAAGACTCATTCCATAAAAAGTATATAAACTTAAACAAGACATTTTGTTGAATATTAATAGCACATGAATTACATTTACATGTACAAATATCCAGTCACTAGAAACAACATATTGCAAACCCAGTCCATTGATTCAAATTCAAATGTTGAATTTATGCATGAATGAAACAAATGGCAATTGGCCATAGTCATCTAAAAGAACAATCAACTAAGTGAATTAACTTTTATCTTGAAGTAAACACTTCTATTCACGATACTATTAAAATATAGCTGAAAGCTAAAATTTATGAAATATAATTACATTTTAATTTTAATGTTTCTTTTGTTTGCAAGGGGCTTTTGAGTTGTTTTTTTTTTATGTAGAGTGCTGGTATTGTGGAAAAGAATATCCAAAATAGTAAATTCTGCAAATAAATTCTTACATTTGCCATAATTATTTTATTAAAAATGGGTTTTCCAGAAATAATTCTTTTAAGATACATGATGAATTAATTGAGATCAGAAAAAAATACGGTCCTGACTGAGGCACAGGGAAACCATAATTTACAGAAACTAATAACACAAACCTCGGGGAAATTTCCAAGTTTCAAACATAAAATAAAATACTGATATTGAGACACTCTTTGCCAAGAAGAGATTAAGCAGAACATACCCATACATATTTCTAATATAGAAAGCTAATGAAAGGTCACTTCTTACAGATAGATGTTATGTCATTTAATATGGTATGCTGATCTATCAAGAATCCAAAGAAAAGCAAATAATTTTTTGTGACAACAATAATTTTTTTAATATATCAATGAAATTAAACAAATTTTAGCAAGACATAAATGATTTAAATTGTAATATAATAAGATGACATGTTATATAATAATAGAATACACTTCCATAATTTAAAAAAAAGATAATTATTAAATAAGCAAAGCAATGGATTTTATAATTAATAATTGTATTTTAAAAGTAAATTTATTTACATTACTTAAAAATACAAAAAATATTTTCCGTTTCTTTAAAATTGAAGTTCAACATTACATGCAATATTTTCAAACCTATATATTTGGTAAATGTTGGATATTGAAAAACATGACAAAAGCGCTGGAAGCAACAAAGCAAAAATTAAAACTTAAAATTATGTTTCAATAAGAATATGAAAAAAGCTCCAGAAAGCTTTCTTATGCATGAAATGATATATAACACTAAAATCATTAGCATATTTCTATAACAAAATAAGTACAAGTATTGAATGACAAAGAAAGGTATCTTATTGAAACTTATGTTAAATGTGTATTGGACATCCAATAGACATAATTTACATTTTTCAATATCATTAGTCTTCTCGAAATGAAATAATTGAAGGTGAAGGACCGTAAATTATTCTCCATAATTGAAACCACTGCTACTAAAAGTATTGCCCATTTAATCTTATCAAGCTGTTTAATGTAAAACATTTAACTAAAACACTACAAATAAACAATTTGCTAGGAACTCATAATAGAGGGAGTTAAAATAAATTTTGAGCCATTAAGCTAATTTTTTGAAAATTTAAAATAGTAGCTTTAAAAATTCTAAGAACTCTATGACAAATGCCGTTATTTTTGTCAAAGCACTAAAACTACCAAAAGCTGTTAGATTCAAACATATTTTTTAGTGTACCGGTACAAATATTTTTTGTTACGAATTCACTTTAAAGGTTATTAAAAGGATAAAAATTTTCAGCCTTCTGTGAAGTTGAAGTTAAAATATGTTATAAAGCATCACAAGTTATCAATTTAAGTAATCTCAATTCATTTCCCAAAAGGACTAGTGGGTTCTTAATTATTATAATAAAACACCAGGTAATTATAGGTTACTTATACCTTTATCATGAAATTAGCTGATGCAATCTTAAGTTCATAATAGAAGTTGATGCAACAGCCTCATAGATCCCGCTTGCAAGTTTATAAATATCTAATTTTACCTAAAGTCATTTTCTGATGCAATGAAATGTTTTTCCTGCCCATTAAGGCTAAAGTCATTTTTATTTACTCTCTCGATTATGGCAAAAAACACCTAAAGTACTGGGATCCATAATCTTTGGATACCATTGATTACCATCCAGAACTTAAGGTTTGCTTATTGCCTTTTTTTTTAATCCAAATACTATGCTATATTTATAATACCCAGGATACTATATTAATGTTACTCATAGGTCAATGAGAAAATTATGGAATCAAACAAGAGAACAAGTTTTTAAATAATGGCACTTTTCTTGTAAAAATACAACATTTTTTCCACCAACCCTCAAATCAAACCAGAATGAAACTGTTTATAAAATGTCAAGCAAGTAAATTAAAAATGACATCACATTTGATAAGGCTTATTTTAGACTTTAAAATAAATATATTGATACAGAGTTTCTATGTATCTGGATTTTAGAGATAAGAACACAAAATCATTTGAGAAATTGAACTAAATCTATTGTCAAACATTGTGGCCTAACATTTGAAAAACCTCTTGCTGTTAAGAAAGTGACATACACTAACTTTGGTAGAATTTTGAGACAACTACATGTTGCTGATTTTTTTTTTAGTTTTTAAATAAAAAGCTGGAAACATTAAAAAATGGTGTACATGAAAGACTAAAACACAGCTATTAATATTTGCTTGGCTGACTATTTCAATAAAATGGTACAAATATAAAATGAAAAAAAAAATTTTTAATTTACATTACAACAATTAGCTGATTTATTACAAAATTAGTTTTATGTTGAGAAACATTTTATTTTAAAAAATAACAATCAGATCTTAAGTCTTATCCGTATTGATGGATGACAATATGTCAACTTAACCAATTAAAAAAAATTAAAGCATTACGTCCAAATTTACTGCAATGGAAGTTAAAGATACTTATTACATATAAGTTTGAAAAACTTATTCTCAATTCATAGAAACTGAAACAAACCAAAAATTAATTTAAACGAAGATGCCAAAGTTCTTTCTGTCCACTAACAATTTCTATCCGTTTTTTTTTCATACACTCAAATGAATCAATCATTTTTTAATGTGGTGTCTGCATGATTTCTATTATAAACAATTTTTGTAATCATTTCCAGTAATACAAGTTTAAAGCTAATTTTATTTTCATGTTAAAAGAAGAAAAAAACATTTACTTGACAGATACTGACATGGATTGGTCATTGTGTAAATAGTACTGAACAGAACTAGGATGTTTGGCCATGTGTTGAATTTTTTCAAGCTCTTGACCACCCTGACCAATGGTGCCAGCTGTTTGATTGATATTGAAAGACATATTTTGAGAATTGGCATTTATCTGTTGCATATTTGATTTTTTATCACAGTCATTGTTCCCGTTGGGATCAATTGCATTTAGGTTTGCATTGTTCATGTTGCCACTATTGCACGACTCCATATTACCACCACAGACAGCAGCTCCAATCATGACATTTCCATTGGCATGGCACTGATTCCCTTTAACATTCCACCACATTGAACGGATGACTTGAGACTCTTCTTTTTGGGGCGTACCACTACAAAGGTCATTGGGTGCTAGAGATAGGAGATCAGGGGTGGGTTTGGATTTAGGGAAAGATGGTTTGAGGGGTTTACAATTCAGGTTACTATTGAAAGATGGGGAATTATTTTCTAATGGAACTGCAAAAAAAGCAGGGATGCAAACTGCTGGTAACTTTGTCCCTTCTGGAGTAACAAGAGATCCCTCAAAGGCATTGGTGTTGATAAATAAATGGGTGGGTGCTGTAGAATTGCAGTCTGAAGTGGATCTGTTGGCTGGACAAAATGTGCTGTAGCCAGCTGTATTGCCATTAACTAGGATAGGAATCTGTTTACGGGGATCTGCGATTTGCATGGGAGAAGGAAGGTTTGGACCAAATGTTGGGCTGGGGTTTAAAGGTGGGTGGTGTGTAGTGAGGTCATGATGTGATGCCGGGATGTGGAATTGGGGTCCAATGTCGTTAATATTGGTATTTTTCTTGTTCATTTCACTGGGTGATGGTGAGCCTCCTACAGCTCCAAGAGCAAGAAGATCGGGTACAGGAACAGAACAGTTGCGAAGGCGCTGTCTAGCATCCTCTGTTTTCTTTTCTAGGGCTTCTACCAGCTTATGAAGTCTCTTGTTCTCAGCTTCAAGTTGCATCAGTTGCTGAGAAGAGAATATATACATTTCAGAGGTCAAACCCACAGACAAAGTACATCATTGTAAATTTGACTCATGAGTATTTCATATTTTAACCCTATATACACATTTATATATTCTTAACAAACAGACTTACTAGGCCAGAGAGCTGCATTTTTACTAAAATTAAAGTACCTGTTGGTCTTTAACACTCTGGTGCCTTCGTCGCTGTCGATAAGCTTGTGCAGACAACTTGTTACGCTCTCTCCTGCGCTCCTTTCTCTTGCTTTGCACATCCTTGGTAAAGAAAAAGAATATTTTTACAATAATGAAGGTGTGTTGTTGAGAGAACTTTTTGTGTCACATAAAGTTTGATCTAAAAAAACTTTTGAGGAGGAAAAAAACTAAAATAAACCGCTTTCCCAACCAAAACTTTGTCCTAAATTCAAACCATGTTAAATCGATTTCATGAAGATTGTCCAAAAAGTTTTTCTGCAGAATGAAAGTCATAACTTTATAGGCCAAAGTTTGATAGTTCAGGAATTAAAGTTTATTTTAAAAACATAATGTGGTTACTAATGTTAACTGGGCAGCCATTTAAGTTTATAAATCCCTCAACGGTGAGGGTCAGACCACACCCCCCCCCCCCCCCCCCCCCCCCCGACGCCCTTTCCTACTAAAGGCCTAATGCTAATGAAGATGTCATTTTCGGCATGCTGCAGAGTTTTTTCACATGAGAAGGAAAGGGCTGGGGGCAAACAATATTGGCCTACCAAGTGGTACTAACCCCAGCTACGCCCCTGATGTCAGCGTCTTTGTTAATGTTAAATTAAAAATTTGAAGGTACTTTAAATAGTACATATCTTATCTTAGTCTTTACAACTTATAAAATTCAATGTTAATATGGTATTAGTATTACAGACTGCCAAGGACGTAACTTTAAGACCAAAGTCTACGACAAATCAAATGAGTACGCGACAAATGCTTTCATTGGTAATCTCTTGTAAATCACTGTCATAAGACTGCAGACATATTTCATAAACCTGTTATGGCAAATGTGACTAACGAAAATGTGGCCTTCACAAGGCCCATTTGCATTGGGGGGAAAAGGGCAAAAAAGGGAGGGGCTACATAAGGAGGTAAGTCAGTTAATTTATGCAAGGTTGAAGGCTAAGCATAAAAACATAGTAGACGCTTTTTACTACTGAAAATGATGTGCTTGGCCTACCAATCTTACAAAGAGAAAATGTGTGCATTGTTTTAAATTTATTTTCTGAGACAAAATGTAATTTTCTAACAAAATATACTGTCTCCTGGAAATATTTTCAAAAAGTGGGCGGGTCACCGATCAGCTGGGAACGGGGTTAATTCCCCTGGTGACCTCGATCAGCTGCGATGCAAGCGAATCAAAGAAAACTGGTACTACAAAATGATTTATGGAAAACATAAAATGATTATCACTAGGAGCACAAAATTTTCAAAAATGGTAAAAAAACTCTGCCTTACTCATATCTGCAAATAAAATAATTGCATTAGCCCTAAGTAAGAAATGTTTACAGGGCGACAGTAGTGTGACGTAGTTAACATGCAGCCGATCAGCACCTGGACAGCTGATCAGGCAGCAGCTGAGTGTTAAAACTAGGTCAAGCGATACTTACCGACTTTTCTGGGTTTTCATTGCCGTTAATGTCATTACTTGTCTCTCCACTTTCCGATACAAGTGTGTCGTAATGATCTCCATCCAACTCAGAATCCCAAAAGGAATCACTAGAATCACATGAATCTGGCAAATCAACTCTTTTACGACCTAAAGTTGACAAGCCCAAGGCTAAGTTGGCCCTCTCTGCAAGATCCCTATCCGTTTCACCAGAACTGTGACGGCTTCTAGGTGGACTAAAATTTTGACTGACGACGCGAACCATTTTGAAAATGATTTATTAATTACAGTTAGATTTAAAAGATAATTTAGAAAATCTGTTAGCGTGTATAATCTAATAAGACTATCCTAATCCAATGAGCACACCGGCGATGTCAGTAGGAAAATACGCTACAGCTGAGCCTGCGCGGTTTTGTGAACTCAAAACACCGGTAAAGAACCAATCGGAGAACAGCTGACTAACCAATCGCGAAACAGCTTGCTAACCTTGACAAAGCCATGTCATGAATAGAAAATGGCTGATCACACACCAGTTTCGAGATTTCTCCGTGCTGATGAAATCGGTAAATTGGCTTGCTCTATTTCTGAAGTACACGTCACCCGCCTGACGTAATCTTGTTTTGGGCAAGGTCGGTTCGTGGTATTCTTTTAACGAATTATTTCATCATGGACAGAAAATGGAAATTATTATAGCGTCTTACGTTTGTAAAGTTTTTACTTTAATTTACAAAATTATTTCTTCTTTTTAAGTTGAGTTAGTTTAGTCTGCGATTATCTTCAATAATTTTTATGTATAATGCACCTAAACCAGTTATCCAGTAACGTATAGCTAGGGTTAGTGGCGCGTGGGGCGGGTCATGTTTTTGTTCCTGTCGAAATTTTTTTTTGCGGATGGTCGAAACTTTTTTTGCGGATGGTCGAAATTGTCGCCCTCGATTTAGAGAAAAAGTGCAGCCCTGGTGGGGAGGCGCCACATCCCCTTCATACGCTAGCGCGACCTTATATCAGCGGCTAAATTATAGGCCTAAGTAGAAAATTAAGTTTTTGACGCATCCCTTTCTACAATCTATTTATTTTACTTTATTGTTGTAAGGGGACATCCATAAGTGACGCCACAGGGGCGTAGCTAGAGTGTTTGGCGCCAAAAGATTGAATTTACCCACCCCCCCCGGCCCTTTTTTTTTCCAACGCTCAAGCCCATCGTTTACCATCAAATCACATTTTGGCGCCCCAAAATAGAAAATGACACCCACACATGTATAGTAAATTTGGCAGCGCTTGATCAAGTCAGTGTCATAACACATCTAAAATGTAAGAGCAGGGTGCCACCTGCCGTCAGCGCAGGTTGCCGTTAGAGCAGCCTGACACCAGAGCTGGGCGACTAGGAAGAGGTCCATGGAGAAGTCTGAATGGGGTGACACCACGAGTTTACCGCGTCAGGCGACATCAACTCCAGTGACGCCACTGAGCATTAGATTAAATAGGCCGAAATGACGTAAACAACGCGAGAGGTGGTCTTATGCTCGTATCCGGAAATTTGTTTGAAAGAAATTTCTTCGACGAAAATTGATCGACGGCAGTTTGGTCGAGCGGAAATTTGATCGAATTTCATTTTCAGTTCACACGATCAAATTTTGGGTCAAATTTCTTTTTGAACGCATTATTTTGTTCAACTAAATATTATAGTGCGTTCATGTGGATCGAGATAACCGACTTGAAGTGGCAAATTTGGCCGCCTTTTGTGCTCGAGATATCAGGCTTCGGCGACATAAAAGAATCGAAATAACCGATGAGAAAACTACTAAGACATAATGTCGACATAACAGAGTTGGCGAGTTAACCAAGGTCGAGATAAGTGGGTTCGACTGTAATTTTAAAAAAAAAAAAAAATTGTATGTCCGTTGAGTCCTCATTACCCCCAAGTTTTCTATTTTTACCCGGGTATTAGGTAATTTACCCTAATTCGTCGACCATTTTAACAGAGCCTTGACTTGTTATGAGTTCGAGATTACAAATAAGTTTTTAGAAACAGAGAAACATCATTGTTTTCAATTTACAAGTCGTTTTCAATCTCTTTTGGAGTGGAAAACGTAGAAAAAACTTGCCATCCACTGAGCCACCTTAAGCACACTTCAGATTAATAGAAAAAAGTTATCTATCTTCACTTTCGATATTTACACAATAAGTTAGGAAATGAATGAAACAAAGTAAAAGTATTCGGGAAAAAAAAGAACGCAACAAAACAACGACCGTGCCGTATCCGAGAAGGCAGCAAGGAATTTTCTTGTTTATGTTTGCTAACCCGGTTGATTGCCGCCCCCTCCCCCCCCCCCCCCGACCCTCCTTTATTACCACAATAAAGTTTCATCATAGAAATTATGTATATTTAGCTCTGATGCAAGAGTTCGGTGCTTTAGTTTTAGATTGGTCATAGCGTAAGGGAACCAAATCATAAACTGCTTGGGAAAAACGGGACACACCCGAGGAGGGTTCGGGGGGATACCCTGCAGCTTAAGAGTTGTCCGGGGACCTCCGCCGGAAACTGTTTATTGAAATATGTTCATTTTAACTATTTTGAGACCTAGAAATCCTTTTAAATTTACCTTCACTTTTGTAACTTAATTTAAACTCTGAGACATATCATAAACAATAATTTTGCGGTGAGTATACTTATTTATTTATACATACAGGGTGGGCCAATAAAAGTGAGAACATCTCGTAGCGTAATATTTTACGAGATGTTCTCACTTTTATTGGCCCACCCTGTATAAGATCTATGGCAGCGACATGGACATTGTCGTTTATGCAGCGTCGGCAGAGTGGTGGAGGGGGAACAGTGCAGCCATCACGCGAGCCCACATCACTACTGGCACTGGCTACACAGCTAGCCAAAAAAATACTTGAAGTTATGTTATAAATTAGGAAGTTTGAGTGATTTGAAAATGTGTTTGGTTTTAGAAACGGGAAGGCGTCCCGATAGACTTTTTCGGGACACCGGGTACGATCGTGAAAAAACGGGACAATGCCGTTTTTAGGGGACGTTTGGTCACCCTATCATAGCGCCACCTGGTTTGTCCGTTACTGGCTCCTATTAGTATTACAAATGTAGAAATCTAACACTTTGTGAGCAGAGGTTGGAACAGGCCCGCACCACCAGGGGGGGGGGGGGGAGGGGGTCAACCATGGACTTATCAGGGGCCCGGGTTAGATAGGGGCCGGGCCATTTCTGGGTTTTTAAAATTTACGCACATGTTTGAAAACTGGCTCCTATTAGTATTACAAATGTAGAAATCTAACACTTTGTGAGCAGAGGTTGGAACAGGCCCGCACCACCAGGGGGGGGGGGAGAGACGGTCAACCATGGACTTATCAGGGGCCCGAGTTAGATAGGGGCCCGGCCATTTCTGAGTTTTTAAAATTTACGCACATGTTTGAAACTCGTAAGGGGCCCGAACTCTGTCATCTGCCTGGGGCCCAGACTTTCCTAGGTGCGGGCCTGGTTGGAGGGTCGCATGTTGTGATGTTTGAGACCTCTTGGAGGGTCGCATGTTGTGGTGTTTGAGATCTCTTGGAGGGTCGCATGTTGTGATGTTTGAGATCTCTTGGAGGGTCGCATGTTGTGACGTTTGACATCTCTTGGAGGGTCGCATGTTGTGACGTCTGAGACCTCTTGGACGGTCGCATGTTGTGATGTTTGAGATCTCTTGGAGGGTCGCATGTTGTGATGTTTGAGACCTCTTGGAGGGTCGCATGTTGTGATGTTTGAGACCTCTTGGAGGGTCGCATGTTGTGATGTTTGAGATCTCTTGGGGGGTCGCATGTTGTGACGTTTGAGATCTCTTGGAGGGTCACATGTTGTGACGTTTGAGACCTATTGGAGGGTCGCATGTTGTGATGTTTGAGACCTCTTGGAGGGTCGCATGTTGTGATGTTTGAGACCTCTTGGAGGGTCGCATTTTGTGATGTTTGAGACCTCTTGGAGGGTCGCATGTTGTGATGTTTGAGACCTCTTGGAGGGTCGCATGTTGTGTCGTTTGAGACCTCTGGCTTAAACACGAAAAGAGGATTTCAAATAAGTCGTAAACATGTGTGTTACTTTTTTTTCCTTGAAAAAGTGGGCGTGAATCCCAAATGCAGCCCCCCCCCCCCAATACCGACACACGGGCCCACACACTTAAGATAAGGGGCGGCCAAAGACTTGGCCCAGCCCAACGGCACAAACCCTAGCTACGCCACTGTGATAAGTACTTTACTACTTATCTTCGGCTTGTCCTAAATAACAGCGATGTTGAAGATATTTACTTAAAAGAGGAATAAACGTTTGTAACTCAAGAATGGCTTTGTGCGTTGTTTTTTTTAACAAATGGTCGAAGCTGTTAAACGCGATCATAATAAATGCATATTTGACATTTTTAATTTGCTATTTACTTATTTTTTACAATTTTTAAATATTTTTTGAGTGAAAGGGGAAAATAATTTAGCAAAGTAAATCTCGGACATTGGCTTCAGATTTCTCCAAAAGAGAGGGCAATGAATAATAATAATAATAATAATAATAATAATAAAGAATATTTGAAATTCACACTTCATCCCCAAAGGCTCGAAGCGCGGTAGATACCACATTGAAGTACAAAATGCAACATTACAAAAACTACATACGAGAATACCCATTCTAAGTCTTTCATACCTTGCAACCAAATAATAAGACACAAATAATATATATAATAAGTGGACAACGATTGTTCTACTCATATAATAGGTGGACAACCATTGTTCTACTCATATAATAGGTGTACAACCATTGCTCTACTCATATAATAGGTGTACAACCATTGCTCTACTCATATAATAGGTGTACAACCATTGCTCTACTCATATAATAGCTGGACAACCATTGTTCTACTCATATAATAGCTGGACAACCATTGTTCTACTCATATAATAGGTGTACAACCATTGCTCTACTCATATAATAGGTGTACAACCATTGCTCTACTCATATAATAGCTGGACAACCATTGTTCTACTCATATAATAGCTGGACAACCATTGTTCTACTCATATAATAGGTGTACAACCATTGCTCTACTCATATAATAGGTGTACAACCATTGCTCTACTCATATAATAGCTGGACAACCATTGTTCTACTCATATAATAGCTGGACAACCATTGTTCTACTCATATAATAGGTGTACAA